TCCCGTCACTGCGACCAAGCTTGACGTACCGACTAGAAAGCAGTCGCATGGCTCTATGGTGTCCAATCGATCTCTGACATCTCTTGCTTCCATTGTGGAAGAGGATCACAGACGCATCGAGGAAGAGGAGTATGACGAGGAGGCCGTGGAGGATCTTCGACCTTCGCCTGTGGTTCGCCTGCCCAGCCCTGCCGTCAAGGTGACTCCTGATCTCCTGCGCTCTCCTGCTAGCGATGACGACGAGGGCGTGGTCCTGAAGAGTTCTCGCTCCGATCTCGACGTCAAGAGCGACACGGACACACCAGCTGCAGCGTTGGAACTTCCAGAACATGGGACTAGCAAGAGCCAACCAAGTCCGCCTGTCCAACAGGACCAAACCAGCGCCCGCGCGCCCCCACCAGACGAGATGGACGAGCTGGACGACGACGGAGCCGATGGCAGCATTGGACAGCGTGCCGCCCCGCAGGGAGAGGACTCGGCGGATGGCCAGCTGCGAAGGCGCAATCTCAGCAACGACCGTGCTGTCGCATCCAGCTCCGCTCAGGGCGCCAAGAATGCCGACAGCAGCAACTGGCTCCAAGCCTTCTTCCGTGTGCTCTTTGTCGACTGGATCGGGGGGTTTGTCCGCCAAATCTTCCACGGCAACCGCAAGTAGTATTATGGCCTGATGGCTGCCGGTGCGGCGGTCATGGCATGGGGCGTCACGACGACGCTGGCAACGGCCGCGCGCTCGAAGGGACAGTAAGGTAGACCGGGATGGTTTCTGGCCTTTTCGTTTCCCCTCACAGTTCGTTTCCCTTATTCTCCTCCTCTCTGGTCCTGTATCGCGGTGTACGATTATCTTGTGTGTGTGTGTGTAGTACGGTAGGGAAGGATCGTGGTCGAATGGACAAGAGCCACGAAGCGGGCATGGAAGCCTGCCAGGGCTGGCAGCAGCTTGGTAGGGAAGCAGGCAGGCACACGATGCGTAACGCAACCTCACGACTTTTCAGCTTTGTTTCCGGTAGTCGTGCCATTGTTTGCTACTGAATATGCTACTCAGACAAGAATTGCTGCGCGTTGGTATCATGTGTTCGTTCATCATGTTGTGTTTCCTGTCCTCCTGTTGATCACGCTCGCTGGAATGAAATCAGTCACTCATGCCTTTTCCTTCCCTCTTCGTCATGACGGCGCGGCAGCCGGCCAGCGAACGCTCCTCACATGACCCTCCACACAGCACCAGGCCGCGGCCCCTCGCGCCGCGCATCCCCGGTCCTCGCGTTCACTCTCGAATCACGGCTGCTCGTCATCGACAGCCGCGCGCTTCGACGTCCCGCATGACGGCCAACTCGTCGAGCATGC